TTAGGGATATTTTGAGAAAATATACCATGATAGGAAGCATTACATCTATTAATATTGGATTTTTGTTTGAATAATTTTTGGAAGAAAATTATGTTAAAATGTTAAAAATATTGGTATTCTAAAATTGATTTGGAAAAATCAACTTGTGTTGGCAATATTTGTTAAAATCCGAAAACAAATTTAATAGTTTATGATTAGATAGTTTATTTTGAGAAAAATAATGTTGAAATATTATCTCATCTTTGCTTTTTTTAGAATTTATTTTTGAGAAAAATAAATTGATGTTGATGGATATTGTTTAAATTGTTAAGTTGAAATCATAGAGTTGTTTTGAGATTAAAAACTCTAAAAGTGTTAGATTCATGATATTTGATGAATGGATATATTGATGATTAGGTATTGTTCATTTTTTTTGAAAATGAAAATATGAAATGTGAACTTTTGAACGCCTGACCTTAAAAAGTATACTCTTGGACATATTTCATAATTTTGATGTAAATATTATATTTATTAGTTAATTTTGGAAAAGTTGTGAAAATTATTATGTGTAGGAAATTTGGAGAAAATAAGTGAGATTAAGTTGTTTGGTGTAAAACAAAATTGAACTAAGATTATTAGTTAAGTTAATGTGATTTGGTATTTGGTCACTAGTTTTACTAGTTGAGTTGTGTTATTATAATAATTTTATACCTCAAATTCATATATGAAATGTTGGAATTGTTTTAGCGGTTTTTTACAATAAAATAAAAGAATGGAATTTTAGCTCGTTTAGAGCAAATGGATATTTTGAATTAAAACATAAATTGAGTTATCAAATTAATTTTTTTTCCCCCGATTAACTTGATGATGTAAATGTTAATAATTCGAAAGTGAACACTTGTTTATATTTTATAATTATAGTCAAAAGAGGATTTTGATATAAATGATTAAGTTTTGAAAATATTTACTTATGTTTATTGAGAATTATGATTTAACTTGAAGATGCCGAGACTTTACTTGCATAAGAAAAATGAGAATTTAATTCTATTGAATGTTTGGGATGGTGATGAGTTTTGGAAAGAATGTAATTACATTACATTAATAAAGTATGTGAGTCAGAAATGATGAAATTGATGAATCCGCTTTTGTGTTGTGTGTTATTGATATTGATGAATCTATTACTTAGAGATTTTGTCCTTAGTAACCGGTGAAAGGTTGCATTGCTAGTGATAGAATGATATGGATTTAGGTTAATCAAAAACTTACATGTAATGTACTTGTTTTTATATTGGAAATGAAATGGATATGGTATGTATTGTGATTGGTTAATGTGAGTACTATAGATAGGGTCCGTTTTCTTCCTGTTAGCACCTGGTAAAGCGTGGCGCATTGATAGCGGTTCCGCTCCCTTTCGATTTGTGCTTGGTAAAGTGTGTTGAGGTTTTGCTCCCTTCCGGCTTGAGGTCTAGTAAAGCATGACGTTTTGAAATAGGTTCCACTCCCTTCCGGCTCGTGCCCGGTAAAGCGTGTTGTGGCGGTTGTGGCTTGACGAAACTGGATCGCATTATGTTATGTGATAGTAGGTGATGATGTTATGGTAGATGATTAAAGTGAGTCATTGAAGTTGTTTAATTATTTAAGTTAACCGGTGTTTGTTAATTAAATAATTTGGACATATTTTTTAATTGGCAGTCGCTCAGCTTGATGACTACAGATCTATTTAAGTTAATGAGATATGAGTATGCTTGTTGATAACTTGTTAATTGTGGATTTATTTAAGCTAATCGGCATGAGTTAATTAAATAAACCAGTTGGAATAGAGGCCTTGCTAATAGTCATTGTAATTGGTGGGTTCATTTAAATTAACTAGTATAAGTCGTTAAATGAAATGTATTTGATTCTTTGTTGGATGTCATAATGAATTATTTAACTATTAGATTTAACTAACAATGAGGTAATTGAATAGATTGAAAATGATGTCTGGTTGACGTTTGGAATATGTTTATTTATTTAAGTTAATTAATTGGAGTTAATTAAATAAATTGAATTTAAGAGATTAGGTAATAAAATTATAAGGTTATGGCATGATATGATTTTATATATGAAAAATGTTTAAGACCCCCTTTGGGGATGACCCCCACACCCCCAAAGTGATCTTAGCCCTCCATGTATATGTGGGGGCCACTCATATATGTATGGAGTCCACATCATGAGTGGTCCAGATTTGTGGGGGTCATGTGGGGGTGGGGGTCTCAATCATTTCTCTTTATGTATAAGTATGGTATCATTGTACCCGCATGTTTGTTTGTTTTTTTTTTAATAAATAATGTTATAATACAAGATTGTTTGGTGAGCTATTAGTTTGCTCACCCCTGCCTGTACATGTATACAAGAAATGCTTTTGGACTTGAAGATTAAACTGTTGGCTTTACCATTTCATTGTTGTAATATAGTGATGAATTGTAATACTTTATTTGTTTATTTGGTTGGGTGTCCTTTCTTTTTTTTGTAAAGAGTAGTGTCCTCTCATTTATTGTAACTTTTGAGATATTCCCTATGAAGCACATATGCGGGTACGGATATGGGTACATGTACGATACAGGTACGTCAATACGACAGATTCTTAAAAAAGTAGGATACAGGTACAAGTATGGCTAGGGTACGCCAAATTTTTTTTTTTAAAATAAAAATTTATAGCTAAACATCTAAGTTAGGACACTTTATAGAAATTCTAGTGCCAGTTAAATATTAGCTTGGTATATGCAGAAAAATTAGTTTGGAAACTCGGAAGCCAATTTTCTCTAATGTTCTATGAGATGCAGAGATGTGTGGTAAAACCTTTTGTCAATGAAAGGTGAACTGTGCTAGATGGGTACTCTGTTGAAAAAGGTTATGACGGCGTTTTTTAAACGTCACTATATCCCTACCCAATGGCTAGATTTGAAAATGTATAAATGTCTATGACGGCGTTTCTAAAACGTCGCTAAATGTCATAGTTACTTTCAAAAAGATTAAGATCAACCAGAAATGATTAATGTTCCTATTTTGGTTTGCTGAATTAACTTTTTAGTCTATTCATATGCATCAGTGGTTTCTGGATTAATTTGTGTTTTCTTTTTTCAGGTCAGAAATTGTTTGGAGAGATGCAAAATATGATTCAAGAATTAAAGAACTTAGTTTTTTTAAGTTTTTTCATTTTTTAATATATGTAAGCACAGTTAATTTTTTTTATTTAATTCTTTTGTATATACTTTTGAATATTTAATTCCCATTTATGAAATATATGATGTTATTCTATTCAATACGTGGTTATGATTCAAAATATAGTAAATAGTGTGTATTACGTTCTTCAAATGTGCATACAAAAATAATATTGATTATTTTTCAAATATGTCGAATCTTTTTTTTATCACAGATTTTATTAGTTATTAATCACACTTAAAAGATGTGATCTAAATGTTATTAATCACACTTAAAAAATGTGATGTAAATATTTTTAATCACACTTAAAAGGTGTGATCTAAATATTTTTAATTACACTTAAAAGATGTGATCTAAATATTTTTAATCACACTTAAAAGGTGTGATCTAGATGTTATTAAGCACACTTAAAAAGTGTGATTAAAAATGACCCCTTTTAATCACACTCCCAAAGATCACACTTTAATAAAACTTAAAAGGTGTGATTAAATAACATACATCACATAAAAAAGTGTGATGTTTATCTATTTTTGTAGTAGTGCATGCCTTGGGGGACTTAAATAACCATTGGCTCTCTGATTAGTCACTTTGTGACTCTTTGTCTGTCATAGATCCACTGACACTCTGATTTCTGGTACGCAGCAAAGTGCTGTACGGAGCTAAGTGTTGTACGGAGCTAAGTACTACACTATAGTGAGAGCCACCTCTAGAGTTCGTGCGAGCCACCTCTAGAGTCCATACATCTGTTATGTTCTATAACATGGTTATGATTTCTGGTGGAGCAAAGTGTTGTATGGAGTTAAGTGCTACACTATAGTGGGAGCCACCTCTAGAGTTCGTACGAGCCATCTCTTGAATCTATACATCTGTTATGTTTCATTCTGTACCGTGATTATGATTGTTTTGTTTATATGATTTCTGTATTATATGTCAAATGATCTCTGTATTATATTAAGCTTTGTTTAGCCAATAATTATCCATGGTGAATTTTATGCTCTTAGTATAATATTTCTCACTCTGCCATGTATTTATAGTTGTTTACCAATTTGTAAGAAATAATGTAATTCAGAAATAGTTTTGGGAGAGTTTTAGATGCGGGACGGCAGAATAGACACACACATCACTTTTATGGTATGTTTATATGTAAATATCGATCTTTTTGGTCAATAAATTTTGTTATAAAAATTGGAGCGCAAATAATTATTTTGATACCCTCACTTAAATATTTTTCCGCTCGTGTTTAGTAATTTGTTTAAGAATTGGCTAGAAGTAACTTCAGTTACTAGCCATCATGATGTGGGTACGAGGAGTGGGTCGTGATAGTTGCAAAAAATAAAATAAAATCACCTCGCCGTACCCACGATGTACCCAAATGTATTTGCTGTACCCAATATGTGTACCACCATACCGGTACGCATACCCTCATCCAGTAAATACCCGGTACTTATACAACACAATTTTTGAAATACCCGTGCTTCATAAAATATTTCATTTGTAACAATTATATTATATTAATTGAAATACACATAGAGTGAGTTTATGGTTTCATCCATAATATTTTCTTATATAGACTAGTGAAAAAATAAATAAATAAAGAAAATTGTTAGTGAAAATGAATTTTTGATAATAAATTAAATGAGTGTGAGATTTTTTCAAAAACCTCACGTTTCAGTTTCGATTTTAGTTAAAAAGTTATTATAAATTATAAAAATAGCGTGTTGTCAAATGAGACTTGGCACAAAATGTAATTATTAAAAATACATAAAAAAAAAAGAAAAAAATCGCATTTTAAGTCAATCTCAAAAAACATATTTATATAATCAAGTTAGGGATAGAAATTGGGGAAGAGAAAAGAGCGCGAACACGACAGACGCACCTTTTTGTTCTGCTTTCAATTTGAATGGAGTTTGGAGCTTGTTCTAGGGTTTTGAACACCAATCAACCGTCGTCGTCGTATTTCAGCCCTACTATCAGATTTCAACCATTCTTTTCAAATGCTTCGTTTCAAGGTTTCACAGCTATTCCTCGCAGAAGCGATTGTTGTTGCAGAGCCATCGTCAAAGATTCCGACAACAACATCAGTAGTATATCCGTAGAAAAGGAAAAGGTTGTTGTTTCTCTCATCATCACTCTAATAGTTTGTGTTTGTATACCATTATTATTATTATGTACAATTGCTTGCTGTGGCAATTGCCGAATTGAAAACAACTACTTTATCTATGTATGTATTCATGATTAGCGTGGATTGGCATTTATAATGCGTAATTAGGGTTAATGGTGTTGATATATTGAAAATCAAACTTTCCCAACCTTGTCACTCAAACCCAGTTCGGGCTTAATTAATTAATTTTTTTAAATTTATATTTAAGGTAAGCAGTTAGTTTTATTATGAATAATAATAATAATAAAAAATTATAGATAGTCAACACTCAACACACTGAGGGTCTACACAGCACACCCAAGCCAAAAGCTTGACAAAACATTGCACGTATCAGAATAAGATTAATTGTGTATTAACATTGCACCTAGCCTACTAAGATTAATCTCTCACAATACGAGAGGCTAGGCAAAATTGTCACGCCCTTAGGCAACCAAGCTAAAAAAATACTTCCAAAACCCTGGAAGTGGACAAGATCCATCCATCAAGCAAAACAAAACTGCAGCCACAAGGAGCACACATGCACATACATGTATAAACTTGTTTGACTAAATGATTTCGAAAACTGTTTGGAGAAATTTTTATGAAAAGACCCATTTTCTAGGAACTTTTTTCCCTATTGTTTTCAGAATTTTCAAAACTGTTTTCGATAAAAATAAAAAAAAAACGAAAACTTATGTTAAAACAATGACTATTTTCAAACTTTTTATTGTTTTATTTCAAAAAACTAGAAAAACAAAATTGAAATTTTTTGAAACGATACCAAACAGGCCAAAGAGTTGTTGCTTATATCTGTATCTATGTATAAGTTTATATACATGCATAAACTTTCCTAGGTATGCATGCACAAGTGCATGCTCACATACACATAGGCATGTGCGTAACTATGCATATATTGTAGTTTGATTCACTTTGACTCCAAAGGTTTCCCATTGAAATTGTAGCCAACTAGTTTTCAGGGTAATGCATTTGCAATGCGACGAACAAAAATCCCATGCCAAGCAAGCTCAATCTAAGCACGAAATAATATGTAGGCTATTTTATTTTTGGGGGTTAGTACATTGGTGGCTGTAGGAGAGGGGAGTCTTTCTTATGGTAAGACTTGAACCCTTGACCTTCTAAGTTCTAATGAGATGCAAGGGTTCTAGCCAACTAGGCTAGCCCCAGTTGGTTGATATGTAGGAATTCTGTTTATCAAAATTAAAAATATATGTGTGTATTTGTGTGTATGCATGTGTGCTAATGATCCAGCAAGCCTTTAATGCGACTATGGTAACTCAATGTTATAGTATATTTCTAATAAATGTATGATGTTCCTATAATTTCTATACCATTCCTCTTCCATATTTTGAGTGTTGGTACATTTTCATAGATTCATAGATGCAGTACCGGATTAGTTTAGACCACTAACACTTGTTGTATTTCATGCTTTTTTTAATCTGTTTTTGGACCTTTGTAGGTAAAGAAGATGTCTGGGGAATATTCTCGTGACTTTGAGCTCTCAAGTTTGACAGCTTTGTCACCTCTGGATGGTCGTTATTGGGGTAAAGTCAAGGACCTGGCTCCTTATCTGAGTGAATATGGCCTAATTTACTTCCGAGTTATGGTTGAGGTATTGTTCTATTGTATATCATTTTTATTTGAAACAGCAAAACTTTGTTATCGTCTTTGTTGTTATGAACACTTTTAAGTTACATGTACGAGTGGGTTGAAAGAAAAGACAGAAATATATGAAGCATAATATCAGATTAGTATCACTATAATATATAGTTTATATCATGGTCATAATACCATTGACTTTTACATTTCCTGGTGGCTTACAGTTTCAAAGTGTTGAAATAAGTGCATTATTTTGAACAAACAAAATTCAAGTTAAATGCTTTGGGGTCACAAATTTTTCTATGACTGTCTTTTTTCGGATAACTAAATCTTCTTCTTGAAAGTGGTTTATTTTTTTTCAATAAAATAAATGTAATGATTTTTTACAGCAAAGATAAAAAATGCTGACTCTAATCTAAAATACACGAGCCTATTGTAAAGGAAATATTTCATAAAATACATTAGCTTATTTACAATACAATTATTCCTTTTTTCTGATGACAATAAACTTCTTTACAGTGCTGCTAGCTCTTCTTGAATTGTTTTGTATATATGCTTGTACAAATTGGAAAAGCTTGGTTGATAATTAGTGTTGTGTGGTGGCCTTGACAAAGTTATCTGGCTCGGCTCTCAAGTTAATAAACTTCAGCTTGAAATTTATTGAATGTTATGTACTATTAAGATCACTGTGCAGCTTAGTGGAAAAAGTTATCTGCACAATTGCTTGGAACGTGACTCTGCTTAAATTCAAATCATTTGTGCTTGTGCAAAAATTTTGGTTCAGCTAAAATATTGTAAATTGGGTTTTTTTAAAGCTAAACTCTAGCATTGTTTCAACCATGTATATTAATAAATAGTCAATGAGTCTTGATAACTTGGTTCTGGAATCCTCAAATGAGGAGTGATATACTGGATACAATTGTCATTTCGTTGGCCAAAACTGATGAGAATTTTTTTTGAGGAGTTTTGAGATGCCCACCACATGACTGAAATTTTATATAAAATTCATCTGTCCTTTGATGGTTTTTACAGCATTGTGTTGTTAGAGTCATCATATTCTAAACCATGCTCAAATCATTTAGGCAAGTTTGTCTCTGAGAATATTTTCGGTGAGCTTAATCATCATATTTATGCTTTAGGAAATTTAGGAAAATTTAATTAATTACAAACAAATCTGTTCAGAAACATACTTATTCATAAAAACATAAAATGAAGACTCAAAATAACTTGAAACTTGATTACGTAAGGTAGGCCTGTGTGAAATTGCTAATTTGACCTTATTTTTCTTAGCATGCTATGCATCAATTCAGAATGTATTTTTGAGATTGGTATGTAGGCTGAATTAGCTGATAATACATCAAGAAATTACAAGGCAATGCATCATTTTGTTATAAAACTAGTATGCAACAGATAACTGTTAAGTGATCCTTGCTGCAGAACATTGCAGTGTGTGTGTGTGTGTGTGTCTTTGTATGTCTGTGTAGAGAGAAAGATAGACAGACTGATTGGCGGATAGACCGATGAATGCTACAAGTTTATGAATAATAACTAGTGAGCAGTATGCAATTCAAAAAGTGTGGATGCTGCTGCTGCTGCTGCTGCTGCTATGATGAATTCTTCTGCAGCAGCTTATAAGCATGGACTTGGAATTTCTCTGTGGTTGAGCTATCCACTGGAGTATGCTAACTTGACTAATTGGTTATGCCAATTCAAACAAGATTTGATCGTTTTTTAGATGATGTCACTGTACTTGACCCATTGCTTGATTGAGTTTGGATCTTACAAATTTATGTGTTAAGTCAATTGACTAATTCCACTTTGATTTGACTTAGATATTTGGATTGAGTTCTTCAGTGGCTGTAAGGACAGATTTTCCAAAGGATTTAGACTCTGAAAACATAAAGCAAACAATTTTTGGGACTAGGAAATCCCCTTTTGTACTAATACAAACTTTGGGGTGTCATCATTTGTGAGTGGAAAAGTATATGCTGACTTCTGCAAGTTTCTATTCCAGCTACTTATTGCAATAATAATAATAATAATAAAATCTACTCCAGCTATGCAGCCAAGATCAACAAAATTGTCACACTTGTTGATGGTGGTTCTGCTAATATATGTTGTCACTGGGAAGTTTGTTTATGAAAAGCCTCTGTGGTTCTGCTTCAACCTTAGTCATGCATAAATCACCTGTGTTATTCCCATTTAGCGTCTGAAATTGATGGTATTAGCTATGCATACCATGGAATGCAGTAGTTGGTTAGTCATCTGCAAAGATTGGTTAATTTGATTCTTCCAATTGTCATTAATATTTGTATCCACTTTCATTATATGCAATTTTTTTTTCTCTTTGTGATTTTTTTTTTTTAATTCTTTTTCTTTTGGTAATTTTTTAATTGTGAAATGTTCGTTTCTTAACAATTAAAACCCTCATTCAGATCAGATGGTTGTTAAAGCTTTCACAAATTCCTGAAGTTACCGAGGTTCCAAGCTTCAGTGGGGAAGCACAGTCTTACTTGCAAGGATTGATTGATGGATTTACCATAAGTGATGCCTTGGAAGTTAAAAATATAGAGAAAGTGACAAACCATGATGTGAAAGCAGTGGAATACTTCTTGAAACAGAAATGCCAATCACATCCAGAGATTGCGAAGGTTTGAACTTGTCCTCCAGTTTCTTCGATACTAAAATGACCAGCTTTAGTACATTTATTTGACATAATTCAACTGCTAGTGTTGTGTTGTGATGCCTATCATGATGTTAATTTTGCTAATGCAAAATTTTTTAACAGCTAACCTGTTCTCTTTCAATTGCTCAAGATAGTATAATGACTGCCTTAGTGTATTTGACATAATTGAATTGTTACTGTAGCCAGTCTTTAAGTTGCAGTGTCTTTCATTATTACTGTTGCCATTTGAAATATTTTGAGTAGCTAACCTTCTCTTCATTGTAGGTGCTTGAATTTTTTCATTTTGCCTGCACATCCGAGGACATTAACAATCTTGCCCATGCATTGATGCTGAAAGAAGCTTTGAACACTGTCATATTTCCTGTCATGGATGAATTAATTAAAGCAGTTTGTGACATGGCTAAAGCTAATGCTCATGTTCCCATGTTGTCTCGCACTCATGGGCAGGTAGATGAATTTTTTATTTTAAAAAATAATAGATATATAGATGTTGCACTGCAATTCATGAGAGAGAGACTGCTCCATCTGATTAGTACCCTGCATACATTGGATTATTGAGAATATGCATAATCACTTAAAAATAACTAAATTTGATGACTAAAAGGAAGAAGTGGAGTTGATGGAAAAATTACAACTGATTGGAGGAAAATGGTTTATTTACTTTAACTCAAATTGTTGGGATATATGCTTTGTTGAGTAAAGTTGTATACTTAACCTGCCTGGCATATGGTGGTGCATGCAATTGTGTTTGAACAATGGTTTTAGAGCTAATAGAGTCATCAATAGATCACTCATTTGGTTTATTGTTTTGTAGCCAGCTTCACCTACCACCCTTGGAAAGGAAATTGCAATTTTTGCTGTCAGATTAAGCAGGGAAAGGCTGGATATTTCTCAAGTTGAGATAATGGGGAAGTTTGCTGGTGCAGTTGGAAATTACAATGCACATCTTGTTGCATACCCTGAAATTAAGTGGCATCAAATTGCAGAGGAGTTTGTGAAATCTCTCGGATTAAGTTTCAATCCCTATGTGACTCAGGTGTGTGTTCCATGCACGAAATTTCTTCTCACTTCAGTTTTTATTAGATTTCTCTATAATTTTTTGCAGGCCAGAATAATTCCTAGGAATTTTATCTACACGTGTTAAGTTAGCAATCTGTAACCACATTTTAATGGCTCCTTTTGATATGCTCTCTGTTCTCTGTTGACTCGTACAGACCAACCATCCACTACCCCGGCTGCTCTATGTATCAAAGCTAGAGAAGTCGGTAGTCTTTATTATCTATTAGATACTCATTAGTGGACTCTCCTTCCAATTTTTTACATCCAGTCCTTGCTCCTATTGTTTTTAGCAAATGCTTTCATAATTTAGCCATGTGTTATAGGTTAGTTGCTGCTCCAGATTATCAATGTGATAATTTGAACCACTGGTCTAATAATATTTTTTAAAAACAGAATGATTATTTAGGGATATTTTTTAATGAAATTTACAGAGGGCTTGTGATGCAAGCATCTTCATGCATTTACCTGTTCTTTTAATTTAATACAATTTGAACTTGCTATGCAGATCGAAACTCATGACTATATGGCAAAACTTTTCCACTCACTTATCCAGTTTAACAACATCTTAATTGATTTTGATAGAGACATATGGGGCTACGTATCTTTAGGTTACTTCAAGCAGGTGAGCTTTCTGATATATTTGTGAATATGTTGCTACTGGTTTTCCTCAACTAGCACTTATGTTTTTCATGTTCAAATGCAAGCAGATAACTAAGGCTGGTGAGGTTGGGTCGTCAACCATGCCTCATAAAGTAAATCCCATTGATTTCGAAAATAGTGAGGGCAATCTTGGGAAAGCTAATGGAGGTCTATCCCATTTAAGCATGAAGTTGCCTATTTCACGTTGGCAGGTAGAACTGTGTGTGTGCTCTCCATGCAAAGATATATACAGTCCCATAGTATACTCAGTAACATTGTTAAGCTACATAATTTTTAGGAACCAAAAGTGCAGGGTAGAAGATTATATGGCATTGGGAAAATATGATTTCCTTACCATATTGCAGATCCAAGTTAAGTCTGTATAAACCAAGCCCAGTAAAAGGAAAGATTTTGTTAGTTAGAATTTTTCTCATCTAATTTTAGTGGTGGTGATAGAGTGAGACATGCTTTCTGTTTTGGAAGTAAATATTTGTTTTTGTATGTTATGTGCAGCGTGACTTAACTGATTCAACAGTTCTGAGGACTATGGGTGAAGGTTTAGGACATTCTCTTCTTGCGTACAGAAGTGCATTACAGGGAATATCAAAGCTGCAGGTAAAAAGTTAAATCAAAAAACATTACTGCATAATTACTAACTACTTTTCATCTTGTCAACGGTAGAAGTGTAGTAGTAAGTATCTGCTTATTATAGGTTGTTTTCTTATGAAAATATTATGTCACACATTATTACTTTGATATTATTGATATGATGAAATTAGCATTTGCTATTTGACTTTTATCAGGCAGCATTCTCCATTGCCCTTACCATTGTTTACTTCCCTTTTATTATTTGACTTTTTTGTTGAACTAATTTTGCCATAGGTTAATGAAGCTTCTTTGTGTGAAGACTTGAATGAGTCATGGGAGGTGCTTGCGGAACCAATACAGACTGTATGTTCCTTTCTCCTAGTTTACATAAATTTTTTTTGGCCCTCTCTACAGATTTGAAGGATTAATATTGTGACTGCTAAAGAAAATCTTTTAACTGAATGCCATCAATAGCTCATATTGAATGCTAGTGACAGTGATTGACTGATTTTATTTTATCTTTCCTTCTCGACACTTGTTTGAATGAAATAAACCATTCTTTGATTTACTTCATAGGTTGATATTCATCCTATGCCATATATTACTATGGATCACTCTGTGTTTAATGGGACAGTTAAATATCTTCAGAGAGCCTTATATGTAGTTTGGGTCAATTACACTTTTCACCCCTATCGTTTAATCCAAATTTCAGTTTAGTCCCTATTGTTTTAATTTCAACGATTTGTTTTTAAGTCCAGTTTCAATTTGGCCATTCCGTTTAAATTTTTGTTAATTTTGTCTATATGTATATCTTAGAAAATGTTGCAAAAATTGTTAGTTTTAACATCCAATTTAGACGTGTGACCAAATTGAAACTACATTAAAAGTGTAGGAGTCAAATTGTTCAATTTGAAATTATAGAGACTAAAGCTAAATTTGAATCAAAATATAAGGGTGAAAAGTGTGATTAACCCATATAGTTTTATAGTGAGAGCACAAATTTGCTGAGAGCTGATGCATAAATGGTTACTAACAAGTACTAGCTGCGGAGGATGATCCCATTCTTTAGAGTGCAGGTGTTTGTGTTTGATGATCCACAATTCGGCCCTAGAATTTGGCTTGGGCTTGACATCACTGTAATAAATGATTACCTTTGAAGGTGATATCTATCTACTAGTCTGACAAACATATTACATAATAATATATTTATTAACATTCAAGAAACCCTAGCTAAAAAGTTACCAATGCTAAAATAAATTCCAAATATAAAATATTATCAATATTAATTATTAAATTCTGTCTTCAATCATTTTTTTTTTTGCTCCCCATTCGTCCCATCCAGGTACTGTTTGTCATCTATGGAAAGTAGACATACCTGGTGGATGTATGTCATCATGTTCATGTCTAATGCATTTGATTATTTTATGGGTTATTTATATGGAGACCTCCTAAACTATTGAAGAATATCACTTTGACCCCATAAATTACAAAAGAGTACAAATGAGCTCTTTAAACTATTGAGAAGTATCACCTTGACCTCCTTTACTATAAAAGCGTACAAATGAATCCTCAAACTATTGTTGTGTTTCACTTTGACACCTTCCGCTTCTATACCGTGAATTAAATCAAACTTTTTACATTTTTGAGACAAAAATATCCTTCAACACTCTATATAACACACCCAGTAGCACTTCCTCTAAATTTTCCTCGAATCCAACTCCCTAAACCTCTTCATCTCCATAATTCACCAAACACTAAAAAAATATCATCCAGTAGTAACACAAGGCTCAAACAAGAAGGAAATCACATCCAGTAGTAACACAAGCTCAAACAAGAAGGAAATCACATCCAGTAGCTAACAACCACAAAACTTGGGTGATATGTCCTGCTACTGTGGCATGAGAGCTCTTTTGAAAACTGCGTTCAAGAGAATAATCCTGGAAGGAGATTTTTGAGATGCATGAACTTCAAGGTAAATATTCATCAAACTAATTAATATATATATATATATATATATTTGTATTATGAGTTTTTTTATTATTATTCTTATTTTTAAATATTCTTTCTGCAAAAATATATTTACAAAGAATATTTTAAAAACAATAATTATATTTAAAAAAAATTAAAAAACAATAATAATGGAATTGTAAATATATAGAATGGTGAAGGGTATTTTCATCTCTAAAATGTCAAAAGTTTGGTTTTAACTTACGGAGCAGTAATGGAAGGGGTCAGAGTGTTTAGGGGGTTCATTTGTATCCTTTTATAGTTTAGGGAGTTAAAAGCGATAATTTTTAGTAGTTTAGGGAGTCTCCGTATAAATAATCCTTATTTTGTAGCAAATTGAGAAGTTTTGTCATTAGTTTTCATGTTTTTTCTTCTCTATATATGTAGGTTATGCGAAGATATGGCATCCCAGAGCCTTATGAGAAGCTGAAAGAGCTAACCAGAGGAAGATCAGTTACTGAGGAAAGCATAAGGGAGTTCATTGAAGGTTTGGAATTGCCCACCCAAGCAAAGGCTGACCTGTTGGAGTTAACCCCTCATACCTATGTTGGAGCAGCTGTTGAATTGGCTAACGCAGTTGATATGGCTGTGAATTTAGTGAACGGGAGTCAGAAATTGGGCTGACACTTGGAAGAATTGCAAAATTTACTGGTAATATGGGTTTGTCTCCATTCAAAGATTCAATCACTCATTTTTGGAGGAAAACCGACATTTTGTAACTAATTTTCATGGTACAGATATGTATTATGGTGATGATACATTTCAACCCTCCTTCGAGCTTGCAGGTGAATTGAATAGGTGGAATTTGTGCGACTCAAAAAAGGGAAATAGATTTGCATGAGAAATTTTTGGGTGCAGATAGGGCACCATGCTAGCACCCCATATGTGGTATCCTTCACCCATATATGGGATGTTGAAATGGAGTGGAATGTTAAAACTTCTTGTTGCTACGCAACTTTCTTTGTGTCTTTATCATGATCATTGCCTCTCCGACCACCATGGAAAGCTTCACCATATAGGAGCATTCACATCCAAGCATAGGATGACTTGAGCTGAGTCAGAAATAAATATGTTTAAGTCGAAAAAGTTATACTAAACTCTGTAGAAACAACGAGAGAGATAGAACCCAACGTGGTGAAGCTGGTGTTGAAGTTGGTCGACATGATGGTTTGCAGCTTCATATCAAACTCAGAGAAATGCATAGAGAACAAAATTTAAGAAAATAATTTTATAGTTCTTCATTTCGGTTACAAATACACTTATTGAAATTTGTTTTAAATATAGATTGCCCTAAGTGGCTTGAAAAATTATAAATACTCTTTTTGTTAGAATTTTCTATTTAACCAAGAAAAAAAAATTCTAATTGTTTTTTTATATAATGATAAAATTAGTTGAATTATTAATTGAAATAAATTTATAACATCACTAAAAATAATTAATTGATTTCTTGATTTATTAATAAAATTGATGATTTGTTATAAAATTAGAAATTTTAAAAAACAAAATGTAACACGAGAGACATTGTTTTTAAGTAAATTTTATAACTTACCCTTTTTATTTTGTTTGAATCAATCATATTCTAAAATTAAAATTTGAATTTGGTCTGATGCAATGTTACAGGTTTCCTTGTGGTAATTTTGAAGTTGATATCGGACAAAGAAAAGTTGTCACATTGATGTTTGTTATTAAGGTTGCGGTGATGAACATTATACGATGAGAAAATAGAATTGTCATAATATTACTGTCCTGGTGTTTTTGTGTTCTCCTGAACTCACACTAATATATAGGGTAAATTATGCAAATGATTTCTGTAATTTACACGTGTCAATTTATTCTTTGTTATTTTAATTTTTTTGATTTTATTTATTAATTTAACAGATTATGTTATATTGGTTTAATAAATAACGGCCGTTAGGTTTAGTAGACAGAAATTTGTTACGTACTCGAACGATGTGTCAATTTAGTTTTTGTATTTGACATGATGGGTCAATTCAGTCTATATTATTTTAATTTGCTCGATTTTGATAGGGATCAAACTGACACATCATGTAAATCATAATTTCGTCCATCAGATCTAATGGCTATTATTTATTGGATCAATATAACACAATCCGTTAAATTAAAGGACAAAATCAAACAAATTAAAATAACAAAAACCAAATTGATATATCGCATAAATTACAAGGATTATTTACATAATTTACCCTAATATATATGCCCTTTTGTTTCTAGTTTCTTCTTTTTACATTTATTTTTTTGTTCCTCATATGTTTTATTTTGTGTTTTGCTTATAAGTTGTAATTTTCACTTCTTTCATGATTTATGAATTCTAATGATGTGACTTTTTGTTTGAGAAGAACAGAAGTGGAGGGAGAATCTCTCATTCATCATCTATTTGACCGATTTAAGTAGATATGAAATGGTGAATTTGTCAAATAAAAAAGGGAAAATTACACTATAGTGGATGTCACCCATTTTTTTAAAAACCTAAATGGCAAATTTTTTTAAATTAAAATTTATTCTTTATCAAAATTACTGAAATAAAAAAAAAGAAGTTATGCCCTTTTTTTTTTTTTTTTTTTTTTGTTTTTAGGTTGCTACGTCACTAGTGCTCTTATTAGAGCGCTCTATTATTAGAACTCTTAAACATCACTGTTGTTATTAAGGTTGCGGTGTTGAACATTATCTGATGAGAAAATAGAGTTGTCATAATATTATTGTCCTGGTGTGTTTGTGTTCTCTTGAACTCACACTAATATATAGGGTAAATTATGCAAATGATTTCTGTAATTTACATGTGTCAATTTATTCTTTGTTATTTTAATTTGTTTGATTTTATTTATTAATTTAACGGATTGTGTCATATTGGTCTAATAAATAACGGCTGTTAGGTTTGGTGGACAGAAAGTTGTCACGTATTCGAACGATGTGTCAATTTAATTCTTGTAGTTGATATGATGGGTCAATTTAGTCTATGTTATTTAATTTGCTCGATTTTGATAGGGATCAAATTGACACATCATGTAAATTATAAGGACCAAATTGACACATCGTTTGAGTTTTCGTCCATCAAATCTAATGGCCGTTATTTATTGAACCAATATGACACAATTCGTGAAATTAAAGGACAATATCAAACAAATTAAAATAACAAAAATCAAATTGACATATTGTATAACTTACAAAGACTATTTACATAATTTACGCTAATATATATGTCCTTTTATTTCTAGTTTCTTCTTTTTACATTTATTTTTTTTTTGTTCCTCATATGTTTTATTTTGTGTTTTGCTTGTAAGTTGTAATTTTCACATCTTTCATGATTTATGAATTCTAATGATGTGACTGTTTTTGTTTGAGAAGAAAAGAAGTGGAGGGAGAATCTCTCATTCATCATCTATTTGACCGATTTAAGTAGATATGAAATGGTGAATTTATCAAATAAAAAAGGGAAAATTACACCACAGTGGATGTCAGAATTTTTTTTTACAAAAAAATAGGTTACATTATAAATATTAATTATTAAAATTATAATTTTTTTATTAATGTGTAATAATTTTTTTAAAAAAAATCATGAAAGGTAATTTTTTCAATAAAAGATGATGAGATTTAGTGAGAAATTAAATTTGCTATTTATACATTTAAAATTTATCTAAATAATTTTTTTAAATACAAAATAAATAAAATAAAATGACACATATCTGTCATCTTTTATTTATTATTATTTTTTAAACAAGAAGATAAGAATTAAAGTAAGTTTTTTTAACTAGTTGGGAAATGACAATTTATTAACTTTTATTTTCGCACATTGTGATCTAACAATTAGGGATGTGATTAGTTCAGTACGATCGGTATTTAGATAAATTTTTTCACTGAACTAGTAATGTCGATTTTATTATTTGAGTACCGATACAGATTGTTTTTCTCATCAAATTGTACTAAACTGCATCATTGAAATGGTTTTGGTCGGTGTTTAATCGGTTTAGGACCTTCTAAGTTTTACCCACTTTTTAAAGTTATAATATGTCATATTTATAATTTATTATTATGTCTTTCGGTATTTTGTGACTTCTTCATTAAGAATTAAGTAATGTATTTTCTTCATAATTGCAGTGAATGAGCGTTGCCAATATCATTTTCCTTTCTACACTACGATATGTAAGGATTTTATAGATTAAAATTGTCTTTAAAACTAAAAATTTTGTTACAAGTAACATTAAGTAACCAATTGTAGTCGTGGTCAGTTGTCATAAAAAGAAGGTTCAGAAAAAAAAATAAAAAAATAAAATTAGGACCTTTAACAGCAAATTGTGAAAATGAGACTAATAAATGCATTTTTAATGACAATAATTTTGTATGAAAATATTTAGTTCTTACGACGACAATTTTGATCTCAAAAAAATAGTAATTTATTACTAAATATTTAATTTTATTACTAAAAATACAACAATAGCATTTTTTTTTTTAAATTAAAGTGATTTGGTCCCAAAATTTTTGTTTCCGAAACTTTAATTGTGGTAGTGTTAAACTTCAACAACTTCCTTCCGGTTCGAAGAATTGGGATGATTACTTATTCACTCGTTTTATGGAATAAGAAATATTTACGAATTAAGTTTGGATATATGAATTTAAAATAAAAAGATTTTACACTATTTATTCAATAAAATTGGCTTAAATGTAGATATGATAGTTTACAATGAATTTGAGAGCTTTGTCATTATGAATTTAAAATGACAATGTAAAAATAGTTTACATTTGAATTTGAATGTAGGAGGTTTGAACTTGAGATCTTAGAGGGAGAACATCTCAACTTCTAAGGCTTAACCACCAGACTAATCCTTGATTTTCATTTCATAATTAGTATAGGTGGGTTAAGTTTATGTGAATTGTGGACTGAAATCTAATTGATTATGGGTTGGTTTGGGAAGTGGGTTGGCTTTTTAGTTTTTTGGTTTTTTTGGTTATTTTAGTCTGGGCTAAAAAGCTTGGTTTGGGAAGGACTTTTTGGCTTTTTTGACTTTTTTTTGTGAGAAAAGAGTGTAATGATTATGAGTTGGATGTGATGTTTTGTTTTTTGCGACTAAAATAGCCTATTTTGTCTTTTGTGGCTAAAATAGCAAAAAAAACCCCATATTCTTCTTTCCAAACGGTGCCTATAATCATGTTTTTTAGAAAGTAAAGTTTTGGATATATAAAAATAAATGAATAAATAAAAAATAAAAAAGAAGCAAAAAGTATAAAACTAAAACAAGAAGACTAGATTTTTATTTTTTTGAGTTCTTTTTATCCTAATTTATGTAGTTAAATTTTAGGGATATACAAATAAACTTTGAGTTAATATACAAGCAAATTAAAATAATAACAATAATAATTGGCTACTTACCATATGTAAAAGAGCTCCTCATAAAACTCAGCGAGCCTAATCTGCTCTGTTATTCCATTAATAAACTCTTAAAAGGAGTATAATCCTATTAACTGTATTTGGATGAAATTTAAGGACAGTAATTGAAATTGCATTCATTTTTCAATTTCAAATATCCTATGAATTTTCCTTGATTACTGGAAGAGATGCACAAGAGAAGAGAGTCTTGACTTTTTGTATTCTCTTCTCTCTCTTAATTTCCCCCATATATATATATATATATATATGTGGGCTGGGCTTCTCTCCGGTTTATGATCGGACTAGAGGGTACTGTTGGACCCCGTTGGGACTAATCACGGGTCCTATTTGGATAATTTAAACCGTTCAATGTGTACTCATCAAGTATTTTATGGCAGTAAGAAATCACGTTGATCGGATATCAATAACTATCTCATCGGATCAGATTTCTGTCAATCGTTTATTTTTTCACTGTCCATTTTTTCATATAAAACTGATTTGATCACGTAATTATCGTTATTCGATCAATGTGATTTTTTACAAGAATATAACATTCGACGAGTTCTATACATTGACGGTTCAGATTATCAAAACGGGATCCATAGTGAACCCCCGC